TATCCTCGCCAAGTATTTCAAGTGGAAATGATCCAGAACCTACCGAAGCTACATCTACAAGACCCCGAAACAAATTGGGTCAGTATAACAAAATAACAAAAGACATGAAATTGTTATTATTTAAATTCTATGAAGAGGGGAGAACCATTTCCGAGGATGCAAATTTAATCTGCATAAACATAAATTCCGAAAAAAACATTTATATGAAGATACAAACAAAATTTTGGAACATTGAAGGAAAATAAGCGTGGAGAAAATAGAACTAAGTTGTTGACACCACAAGTCTGATCGAGTTCTATATAGAAAGTCAACCTGGAATTACCCTCAAAGCCATAAAAACTAAACTGTTGAGAGAAAATGAAATAAATATTTCCACAAGCTGCATAGAATATGGATTACGGAAATTAAAAATTACGTTTAAGATGGCCTCCATTGAAGTAGAACGAATGAATGACTCCAGAACATTAGGCTTGAGACAAAAATATGCTCAAGACTTTACAAAATGGATGATGAGTGTGGATTTAATCTTCACATACGAAGAACCCAAGCCCGTTCAAGACAAGGAACAAGAGCACACATTGTGTTGCCTACGGTCAGAGGTCGTAATGTCACTATAATTGCAGCAATAAACAACGCGGGAGTTGTACATCACACAATCGTTTCTAATTCCAGTGTCAATGCAGACAGATTTAAATTGTTTTTAGAAATTTTTTTTGAGAAAATCAATCCAGAGTTGGAAAATAACGCTCAAATACACAAGCGACATGACATAAAAAATTTGATCGAATCCAAAAGATGCAACCTTAAATTCTTACCGCCTTATTCTCCAATGCTAAATCCAATCGAAAATGCATTTTCAAAAATAAAATTATGTCCAAGAGCTGAGCTGTGTGACGTTTCAATGGAACATAACATTGTTGATGTAATCGAGCGAAGTATTCAAAAGCTTACTCGGCAAGATTGTTCTAACTACGTTATGGACATGGTTTTGAAAATCCCACAAGCTGCAAGTCTGGAACCCCTTCATTAAGATAAGCAGTTACCTTATCATCAACAATTTATTAAGTCAAATATGTATTTCGCATTTAGGACCGGGTATTCAATTCTTGTTCTTAAATATTTATTTATTAAAATGTCAAGAAATACCCCAGTTTGTATTACTATTTATTTAGTTTTATGTAGTAAAGATATTAAATGAAATCACACCGAATTAAAGAATATTTATGTTAATTACATAGCCATACAACTATATTTGTTAATATTCTTTGATTTAATTTTCAAATATTGGTCTAAAATTACTGCAAATATTATATTTCCTTAGATAAGAATAAAGGTTTCATTTAATTTGGAAAAAGTTTCATTCTATTTGTAAAAGGTTTCATTCTATTTGTAAAAGGTTTCATTTAATTTGGAAAAGGTTTCATTTAATTTGGAAAAGGTTTCATTTAATTTGGAAAAGGTTTCATTTAATTTGGAAAAGGGTTCATTTAATGTGTAAAAGGTTTCATTTAATGTGGAAATGCTATATATGGAAGCTATGTCTAAATCTGAACCGATTTTCACGAAACTTAGCACACATAATTCTTAGACTTAATTCAGTACGATGTGCCAAATTTCGTGCAAATCGCAAGCTATTTAGGGACTTTGGTGCACCATTCACCTTAAATCGGACGAAAATATATATGGGAGCTATATCTAAATCTGAACCGATTTTTCTAAATTTCAATAAGGTTCGTCCTTGGGCCAAATGAATGAGCTGTGCCAAATTTCATCCAATTCGAATAATAAATGCGACCTGTACTTTGTTTACAATTTAACATGGACAGACAGACGGACGGACATGCATAAATCGACTTAGAAAGTGATTCTATGCATATTCTCAAAAGGAACAATGTGTAAATATTACATATTTATTTTATTTATCAAAATTTAGTTTTTCTTCCTTTTGTCGCTCAACGTCATTTACAGTTGTTTAAATTCATTCATCTGATATCCGAACATTAACTTTAAACTCTACATAATTCAAGCACACAAAGCCTACAAACAAATATTTAAGAGCAATGTTCCTGTTTCAACACTTCAAACTCTACAACATACGCCTATCATCAACACTCAGATGCTTTAGCAATCTCGACACGCTATCATACTGCTGCTGCTGCCCATACGTACGATTAAAGTTGCCAACGATTTAGCCCCAAATGAGGAATGGAGGCAAAAGAAAAAAAACACGTTTTAGCGTCAGCCAAGCAAGAACGCGAAGAATGATGACAATTCTGCTATGGCAGACCAAAAAAGAAAAACAAAAAAACCAAAGGACTAAGACGACAACAGCAGCAGCGCTAAGTGACAAGTAAAGTCGAACAGTGGAAAAAATGGCTTAGAAATCCTTATCGCAAGATGCTTTCACAACTTGTGGAAGTATGTGTGTCTATCGTGCGTGTGTGTGTTACATAAATTTGAGAAACTTGATAGTGACAGGCGCACAATATATATGTAAAATGTGTAAGTCACATATATAAGAATTCTCAACATAAGTTGCACTGACATACATTACTTACTCCCACATATCCTGCAATAAAGGCGTGAAAGACAAACAAAAAATGTAAGAATGCCTTAAACTGATATATAAGTTGATATCTACCACCAGCTTGTATGTTTATGACAGGATATGCGGCCAGCTATTCGTTTATAGGGTTTTTTATTTCTGTTATTCCGAAGTTGTCACAACACTGACGGAAAAAATGGGCCCATGTGACTATGTAGCTAGTTTTAATATATTGTGGTGACAATTGTACTGGCATATTAAAATGTATGTATGGGTGGCAGTAGTAGTCTTATTTCAAATGACTTTAACTTAAATGTCATGATTTTCATGTACACAAAAATTAATACACATAAATATTAAATTTACTTCAATCCGTCATAATCGAAATTACTGGCAAATAAAAAATGTTTTTAAGATACAAATTTTCTGGAAATTTCGATAATACCATTTCTATGGGAGCATATTAAATGTGAGCCGACATCTCCAACGAAACATCTGCATGTTTACACCTACCACCTGCAGCTGAAGTGTAATATTCACCTGATGATTCGATATTAGTCAAAGTTTTATGATAGCCCCGAATAATGACATCCCACCCCCCGCTATCGGAACACTTTTGGAAATTTTGGGGATTTTTGACACATTGACGTTTGGTGACAAACCTCCCACAAAAAATTCGATATCGGTCGACTTTTGATGATAGCTCCATATAACGGAACTTCTCATTATTCGGTATTTTTGGGAGTTTGGGCCAGTTTAACAACCAAATAGGTTATACTTTAGTACTTTTAATTCTAGGAAATCTGTCTACCAATTTTCGGGAAATCCCCCAATTAGCAGTACCCTCACTATTCGGTATTTAGGGAGGTTCGAGATCAAATTTACCTTCCAAAAATTGTCGTTATCATTATTTATTATTCGGTTTTTTGGGGATTTGGGCATTATGTTTGTAACAGGTAAAAGGAAACGAGATAGACACAGGGTTCCTTTGTGAGTCGATTTATGCATGTCCGTTCGTCAGTCTGCTCATGTTAAATTCTAAACAATGTTCAGATCGTATTTATGATCCGATTTGGATGAAATTTGTCAAAAGTCACTTATTTGGACTGAGAACGAACCCTATTAAAATTGGTTCAGATTTAGATATAGCTCTCATATATCGTTAGCTAAAATGCAAAAAGGCGTAACTAACAAAAAATTGAAAATTAACTTTTTGAATGAATATTGTGAATGTCAATAAACTACATGCGTTGACAAGGTTTTACACGTCTACGGTCAAAAAAGGAGCTTCTATTAACAAAAAACAAAAAGACGTAACTACAAGTGAGTTTATTTGATAAATGCAAAAAGTTCAAGTTTTTACATTATTGCTATGACTGTCATTAAACTAAATAACTAAATTTGTTAAAAAAAAAATTGTAGTCTATTATTCGTCATATGCAATATAACCCTGCCGGGCATACTTTTTTTGACATGTTTATAGTTTTCATTGAAAACAGTTTTTTGCTTCTCCTACACAATTATGCTTTTGTTAGTTACGCCTTTTTGCATTTTAGCTGACGATATAGTTTCGTATGTAAATTACACATCAAACTCCCAAGCATTGTCCGATAGAGACAACATTTTGCACTGCATACGGAAGCAGGTCCATATTGATGTATGTTAGGTTTTCTTGAAATCGGTTCAGATTTACATATAGCTCCCATATATACTTTCGTCCGATTTTATGTAAATGGCGCACCAAAATCCCAATATTTTTCTGATTGCAGTTTGATGTCTGTTAAGGTCAGATTTTGATATAACTCCCATATATATTTTCGTCCGATTTTATGCAGATGGTGAGTTTAGAGTGATGTGTATTAAGGTTGCAAAAATCGGTTTAGATTTTGATACATATTCCAAATTGTGGACAGTGCAGTGTGTTGCAGCATAGCAAATGGTATACGTCACGGGTGCTCAATTAGGTCCAGATTTGCATACATACATAATTTTGCTCCGTTCCATACAAATGATACACCAAAGAATCCAAGTTTCCCCGATTGACGTGGCATTTTTCATTGATTCCAGAATGGTATGTGTATGGGGTTTTTTAATAGGTTAAAATACCTATGTAGATCACACAATTAATCCCGATCGATTCCATTTGAACGGCCCTCTAAAGGTCATATGTCTGTTCTATCTACGGGATATTGTATTTAATTTTACATGCACCCAAAGTGGAGAAGTTTATCATATAGTTGGTCCCATTCGACAGTTGCAGTTTCTTTCTTTCTTTTTTCTTTCTTTATTTTTTTAATATTCGGTTAGCAAATTGGAACGATTAAAGTAGAGACTATAAATGATGAATGTTATATATGATTGTATTTTTTTGTTCCATGAAAAATATTTAAGGTTAAGGTTCCCATTCAATATTAACACCTATATTCTAAACATGCTTATATTTTTTCCAACTTACCTCAATTTTATTATCATCCAATTCCAATTCCGTTAAACTCCAGAGTTCAGCAAACACCGTATCACCAATAAAATTGATATTATTATGTGTCAACTTCAGAACATTTAAATTACCCAAGCCTTTGAATATTTGACTTGTCAGGGTGTTAATTTGATTATGCGCCAAATTCAAATAGATTAAACGAACCAAATCCGAGAAGAGACCATCGTGTAAATTCGTTATATTGTTGTTATTCAAACTGAGGCGTTCGCATAGTGGCAAATTACGGAATGCATTGCGGTCAATTTCGAAAATCTTATTATATTCCAAATTCAAATCACGCAAACGAATGTGATTAGCAAATGATTCCTGGTCCAGGGCAATTATCATATTGTTTGTTAGAACAATTCGTTCCAATTGATGCAGATTGGCGAAGGCATAGCTGCGAACGATTTCCACTTGCGAATATTCAATGGTAATACTGGTCAAATTCTCCAATGGCTTCAATATGTGAGTCGGTATATAGTCCAAACGACCATGATTCTGTATGACAAATTTCAGTTCACGCAGGCGGGTTTGTTGATAGAAACGCGTCCATGTGGTGTCATTTTGAAGTAAACCATCAGAGAATACCCAACATTCAGCCTTTTGTACGGGGACATGATTTTCGTCAGGAGTACAGTAGCACATTAGTTTCATGTCACGTCGCCGCACACAGAAGCCGGTATCGTCAATGGGTCCAGTATAGTAGTTCGATGACGCCGACTTAACCGAAGAAACTGAATAGGGTACTGAGCCAATTGACGCAGGGCCTGCACCATATGCATTATAATGACTTGCGGAGGAAGAGGAGGAGGAAGCAGCATAGTTGGTAAAAGTCGGGTCAGAAAGACGTTCAGCACGTCTTCTGCCGTCTTTGTCTCGTGAACGTGCCTCGGCAGCATTAAATGTTAGGCAGAGAACTATAAGGGCCAACGACAGCGTCGATGTGTTGTGCAGGAAATACGGTTTTAACATTTTGCAGCTTTTGTAATTTTTAGGTTTTGGCAAGAAACAAATTGTATTATTTTTATTTTACAGCTGACACATGTACTAAAAAAAGAAAGAAAAATTAAATTGGATTTATTTATTTTTTTGTAATTTAATATACTAAAAAAGAATGAAAAATTAATTTTGTATTTATTTATTTTTTTGTAATTTAAAAAAGTTAACATAGTCACAATTTAACGATAGCAGCCAATATTCGGTAATTGGTCAGTGTTTCAAGCAAATTTACTATAATTTTATATTTTTTCTTTTTTGCAAAGAATCAATATTGTCAAATGTTTCAGGATAGACCCTGGGAATTTCCGCCAATTTTCTACCAGTAAGGAAAGTAGTAAAGTCGGACGGGCCGACTATATCATACCCTTCACCACTATGGGTATATTAAACAGGACTATTAACATGAAATTGGATGAAATAAAATATGTGATATTTATCTAAATGTGAATCTACCTAGATCTATCCATAAGGTATATACAAATATGAATAGGTCATCCGTTGGGCTATGTCTGTACTTCCAGAAGACGCAACTACGTAATTCTATGCTCAATTTTGTACGTGTGTTTGATGTCAATCTGACCAACATGAGGAGTTTGATTCCCAATTTACTTGAAATCGGGCGAAAATATTCCATATATATTTTTGCCCGATTTCAAGTAAATTCTCTATCCAAATATTAAGCGATTTCAAACAAACTTGTCACAGGTTATGAACTAATTTCAGAACGTTTTGTTCCTATCAGCCTATTGGTTCCTTGGTGCGTCAATTACTTAAAATCAATCTATAATAAAAGGGAGCTATATCTAAATCTGGACCGATTTTCACGAAACAGACATCACTCTAGGCTCAATTCGGTACGTTATGCCATATTTCGTGCAAATCGCAAGATATATGTAGACTTTGGTACCTCATTTACATGAAATCGAACGAAACTATATATGGGAGCTATATCTAAATCTGGACCGATTTTCTCGAAACTTGGCAGACACCACTCTAGGTTTAATTCAATATGTTACGCCAAATTTCGTGCAAATCGAAAGGTATATAGGCACTTTGGGGCACCATTTACATGAGATCGGACGAAACTATATATGGGAGCTATATCTAAATCTGGACCGATTTTCTCGAAACTTGGCAGACATCATTCTCGACCTAAATGATTAGGCTGTACCAAATTTCGTGCAAATCGAAGGATATATAGGTACCGTTTACATTAAATTGGTTAAATATATATATGGGAGCTATATCTAAATCTGAACCGATTTTTCCCAATTTCAATAGGGTTCGTCCTTGGGCCGCATAAGTGACCTATGCACCACAGTGTGGTGAAGGGTATAATTACTTTGTAGTTTTCCTCACTGTTTACTTGTTACATATATTAGGTTGGGGAAAAAGAAATCCATTATTTTTTATATTAACTATACGACTTTTTTAACATGAATGTCTGATTTGGGTCTAATATGCACCATTTTGTTGTCATTGTAAAGGTAACATTATAAAGCATCTCTTATATATGTCCTGCTCTCTATTTGCAAAACACTCTAGTAGTCGATTTTCACCCTAAATGCCAATTTTTTAAAGAAATTTAGCAATGCAAGAATAAGATGATAATCGCTTGGTGTCAAATCCGGAGTGTATGGCCGATGCGTTAAAACTTTCCAACTTAGCTGCCAAAGTTTCTGGCGAGTCACTGTAGATGTGTGTCGCGTAGCGTTGTTCTCGTATAACATGACACCTCCCCAGTTGGTCAATTATTTCACCCTAACTGCCAATTTTTTTAAAGACATTTAGCAATGCAAGAAAAAGATGATAATTGCTTGGTGTCAAGTCCGGACTGTATGCGGATGCGTTAAAACTTTCCAACTTAGCTCCCAAAGTTTCTGGCGAGTCACTGTAGATGTGTGTCGCGTAGCCTTGTCCTCGTAGAACACGACACCACCCCGTTGGTCAAATATGGCCCTTTTCCGGTCAATTACTATCTTCATACGCTATTTGACTACAACCGTATCGCACAGGGTTATCGTATGCGATCCATTTCTCATCTGCAGTCACCATCCGTTTAAAAAATGGGTCTATCTCTACCAAGGCTTCACAGATGGAAATTCGATCTATTCAATTTTTTTCTGTTATTTGGTGTGGCACCCAAACATCGAGCTTCTTTTTGAATCCAGCTATGTGTAAACAGTTTTGTGGTCGAGTTTTAGCTCCTGGGCGATGTTACGACCTCTAACATTCCGGTCAACTTCGATCATTTTATCGACATTTTCATAATGGATTTCTTTTTCCCCCAACCTAACATATGCGAATACTGTTCAATGACCTACATAAATAAATTACAAGAATGTTATAGTTAATTTATGTCTTCTTAGAGTATCGAAGTAGAATTTTATGAAGTGGAAAATATTGGATTATTTTGCCCAAATTCCATTAAATATGCAAATATGTATACAAATGAAAATCTTTAGAGAAAATAAATCCCATATTGATATATTTAAATGAATTGTTTTATATGAACTAATATTACTCCTTAAGCGTTTAATCAGCAAGCCAATTTTTTTTTATTAAATTGTGTAAATTGTTTCATTTTTTACAGAGTGATTGATGTTTTAAATTCTCTAGTGGGGAAAAATAATTGAAATTTCTTCCTTCATCAAAAGTAACTTTTAATCCTCCAACATCTATCTTCGTAGCATAAATTAAATTACGGAAAGTTTATAACTTCCTATTCAATAATACGAAAAATCGTCCGCCAAAAAATCTCCGCATTTACAATAATTTCTCCACAATTATGTACATTGGCCTACAAACGAATAGAATACATTAACAATATAATTTTTCTCCAACTCACTGCATATATATTTTTTTTTAATATTACATTTTTTCTTTCTAAGCTAAAGACCATTTGCCCTATTTGCATAAACGCTTAACTCTGTTCGCCACTCAACACTCTTCCTTCGTAGAAGATTAATTCCTTTCCCTTTTTTTCTTTTCTTCGAAGTAAATATTTCTTAGCCAGTAAAAGACGAATTATGCGATGAATAGAAATGCAAGGGAAATGCTGTGTGAGAAACCGTGATAAAAACTTTGTAATAAGATACCACCAATTATTCATCATTTTGAAGAAACAAAAAATACACTTAAAAAAAACAACTCAAAAACAATACTGTTGCAGCAAAAAAGTGACCACAGTCCCGGCAAACACTTAAGAAAGTTGTGTGTTTTGAGCAAAAAAAAAAAAAAAAAAAAAAAAAAAATGATAATGATAATGGTTAACACCCTTATGGTGAACTATCACTATTATGACACAAAATGTCATGTTTTTTGTCGATTAATTAAATAAATTAGAGTCTCAATTGTTGCCAAGTACCATAAATCTATGTTTTGGGTATATCCCTATGTAAAGTTAACCCCTTTTTCCAGGATTTCCGACTGAGTTCTCATTATGTGACAAATCGACCTGTAAACAAGTTAAAAGAATTCGACCAGCCCCTGTAACTCCATATGTAACCCACATGAGCTAAAAATATACTATGAAACTTTTTTAAACCATTTACAATTGAGCAGAAACGGTCAGAATTTGCCAACAGGAGAGGTGTCATGTTCCACTAGGACAATGCTGGGGTACACACATCTACAGTGACTCGCCAGAAACTTCGGGATCCTGGTTGGGAAGTTTTTATGCATCCACCATACAGTCCGGACTTAGTACCAAGCGATTATCAACTTTTTCTTTAATTGCAAAATTTCTTTAATCATAAAACCAGTAAGGAAAGTAGTAAAGTCGGACGGGGCCTATGGGTATATTAAACAGGACCATTCACATGAAATTGGATGAACTAAAATATGTAATACTTATCTAAATGTGAATCGACTAAGATCAATATTTCATGTCAATCTGAAAAACATGAGGAGTTTAATGCACCATTTACTTAAAATCGGACGAAAATATATATGTAAGCTATATCCAAATATGAACCCATTTCTTGTCACTTGTCACAGTTTAGGTTATACTAATTTCAGTACGTTTTGTTCCTATCAGCCATATATTGGTTCCTTGGTGCATCAATTACTTAAAATCAATCGATAATATATAAGGGAGCTATATCTAAATCTGGACCAATTTTCCCGAAACCTGGCAAACATCAATCAAATCGAATGATTAATAGGGACTTTGGTGCACCATTTACATAAAATCGGACAAAACTATATATGGGAGCTATATCTAAATCTGATCATCAATCAGACGTCACTCCAAGCGCAATTCAGTACGTCATGCCAAATTTCGTGCAAATCGAAAGATATATGGGGACTTTGGTGCACAATTTGCATAAAATCGGACGAAACTATATATGGGAGCTATATCGAAATCTGGACAGATTTTCATGAAACTTGGCAGACGTCACTCTAGGTTCAATTCAGTACGCTACGCCAAATTTAGTGCAAATCGAAAGATATATAGGGCCTTTGGTGCACCATTTACATAAAATCGGACGAAACTATATATGGGAGCTATATCTAAATCTAGACCGATTTTCACGAAACTTTGCAAACATCACTCTAGGCTCAATTCAGTACGTCATGCCAAATTTCGTGAAATTCGAAAGATATATAGGGACTTTGGTCCACAATTTACATAAAATTCAAGAATGTTCCTACAAACTTTCAACAGAAAATCTCAAGAACTCTTGAAGATATAGCCGTTTTATTGTGTCAGCATCAAGTGACGGCTAAAGGGCTTCTCAAACTTTAAACGCGTTTTTCTCTTTTGTGAATGGCGGGCACGATAACTCAAAAACTAATGACCCAATCGATTCCAAATTTTTACACGTTTCTCTGTGAGTGTATAGCTATCGTATGAACTAGGATAAAGCCAATCGGTGAAGATCTTCCTTATTTTTTAACTTGGTTTTTGGTAAAAAATCGGCGATTTTCCAAAAATATTTTTTCAAAGGTCCGCCATTTTGTTAATTTTA